GCTTGCTTCAGGCTTCAGTTTCATCAAGTACCTTAATTGTGAAAAATATGCTTAGGTTTGGCCCTGACCCTATATGGTAGTTTCCCAAAAGAAGGGGACCCCAATATAGACCCCAAAATACTCTAATCCTTAGTATTGGGACCCCTAAAAGGTACCCCTAAATTTGGGAAACCCTAAACCCTAAACCCTGCATGTTGATCACCTTGACTGAGGAATGTGTAAAGCCCTTGAGGGTGAGCGTGCAAGCTTCTTTATGAGAACTGAAAACGCCACAAAGTATCAGGCTGGCCCAAACCGAAAACCCTAGGCCCTGCTTGGACCTCCCAAATGATGATGATGATGATGATGATGATGATGATGATGATGGCTTTTAGCATCACCTGTTTGTAGAGGTTTGGCGGTCTAAGTTGCGTCCCTCGCCTTGTGTTGTGGAGATCCCTTTTTTGAAGTGTAACACCCTGTGATGTAGGAGACAGAACAGTTTTCCAAGGGCATGGGTTGCAACAAAGACTAACTAGAAATTAATGTGTTGCACTTGCTTGACCTGGGGGAATGTTGCTATTGTGACAACATTTACCAGATGAGCCTAACGTCATCATTCCGGCTGCTGAAAAGGTTCGTGATCCCTGAAGAATAAGATGGGCGCTATTGATGCACAAAGTCCTGCATGATGACCTTGGGATTTTCGCAGGAGTAGCTCATGCAGCATTCTTGGTAAAGAGATAATACGCTCCCCCCACCCTATACAACCTCCCCCAGCCCCGAATAACAAATGTCTGCCCCAGTAGATACAGACCCTACACCCTGGATTGCGAAGCAGTGGTCCGCTTCGATCCCAAAGGCTGCGCCGCTCAAGCTTTGGATGCTCAACAACACCATGGCTTCGGCGCCAGCGAATCGAGGCTTTCGAGGGCTGGCGGTTTCAAGGGCTTACAGTAGGAACTAACCCTAAACCCTAAACCCTAAGCCCTAAGCCCTAAACCCTAAACCCTAAAACCCTAGACCCTAAACCCTAAAAGCTCAAGACTTAGGAGTTAAGCTAAAAGCCTGTAGGGATGCATGCTTTTTTTTTGGCTTTTTGGGGTTTAGCCGGGCGTTAGTAGTTCACAATTGGGGAAAAATATTTTTCCCCTACTAAACAATTGAGGAAATATGTTTATCCCCAATTGTTTAGTACCCTGTGTACTAGACGATTCGCATTCTTATTCCTCGTATTGGCTTCTACCATTGTTACTGAATCTGCTGAAACTACCATTTAAGCGTGACGACACAATCTTGCGGATTCAAAGCTTCGGGTTTAAGAGCCATCCACGAAGCAAGTCTCACCTTGGCCTGATGCCACAAGCAGCATGGCCAGCATACCCATGGGTGGTTGTCAAAATTATGGTCCCTCTTTGGATCCCTGTCGTAATGCGGCACCTAATGAATAGGATACCCAAAAAGGGATCATAATTTTTGACAACCAACCATATCATGCTTGATGACCTAGGTTAGGGTTTAGGGTGGGGCTCATGGTCCGGGCTTAGGGCTTAGGGTCCGAAAAATCCTAACGTCTAGTTACACGGAAATGGTTTTGGGTTCAAGGTTGCTGAGGGTGAGGTCACCATTCATATTCCCTTGACCAGCCGTATGTATGTTACCCGAATTCTGAGTAGGTTTTATTTGAATCTTTTCTCAGCGAGAACTATAGTTCTAAGCCCCGAAACAACCCCACTAATAATGGACATTCTCCGACGTACCTCTGCAATTTTGAGTTGTGTCTTGGTCTTAGGCTCCACGACTTGTTAGCATG